ATATGAACACAACTTGTCTTGGCAGTTAGGGATCCCTTTAAGTTAATTTGTTGCTTCTCATAAACCTCATAAATTTTTTTATTTTTTTATTTGTTATGTTATGAAAAATAATTACATATTCTATAAGTATTTTAAAAACAATTTGGTTTAATTAAGAAGATCAAACGTGGTGATGATTTAAAAAATGCCTTTTTCTCAGAACAGCAAAAATGGATTTAAGATCTTCTCTTGCAGTAACGATATCATTAGTGAAAAAAATTTATTTTTTAATAAGTGTATTTTATTATTCTCATCTTGGTCTTTATTTTAAAATAGTATTTCTTTATGCTTGGTTTTAAAATTTTGTCTACAAAAAACCATCTTTTTTTAAAATTAAAGAACACTCTCATGTCCATTACTAACAATGCCTTTTTGAAAACAAATATAGATAACAATATGAAATTTTTATTCTCATATATATATATATATATATATATATATATATATATATATATATATATATATATATATATATATATATATATATTTTTTTTAAATCTTTAATTCCAACAGGGCTGCAAGCAACCACTAATTAGTGTTAGAAGTTACTGGAAGAGAAAAGATGAAGATTGTAGAGCAAGATAACGATTGATAGACAACTTAAAAGATTGCAAATTATATGAATCAGGAAAGCAAGATGAAGGAAATGAATTTCAAAGAACTGATGTTCGAGGAAAAAAACTAGAGGAATAAGAGTTTTTGGAGCACTTAGGAACAGTCACAGAAAAAGGATAAGACTTCATTGAAACTTAATTAAATGACGAGTAACACAAGAATGAATTTTAGTAGATGGCACAAGAGACGCTAGCTCTTTAGAGCAGTGCCCATTATAGTATTTGTAGAAAAAGCAACATTACGACGATGTGATAATGGTTGAAGTTTGGCTGCAAGAGTAGGTCCAACTATGTTTACAATAAGTTTTTGCACCTTGTCTAAAAGAGAAAGGGCGTCATTAGAAGATCTGCCCTAGATATGGCAACAGTATTCCATACAAGACCGGATTTGAGATTTATAGAGATAGAGAATAAAATCCAAAGTAAGAAAGTGTCGAGCTCATGGCCTTCTATAATAACAGGCATTGACATCGCGCTATAAAGTTGCCAGACTAGAGGCCGATTTATAATACTGTGTTTATATTTCCTCTTTTAACTTTACAAAAAAGATTTAGTTTGCGCTATTAGAGCAGATTTTTCAAATTCGATTGGTTAGGTTTGGTTAGAGCGCAACTTTAAGACGTAAAAGTTAACTTCATAACACTGGCTTGAGTATTTTTAAACTCATATAAAGTTATTTGAGTAGTAGTAGAAGATACCTTTAAAATACTGCATACCTCTCTGCAAGTCAAACTATCACTCGACTGAATCAAAAATATCGATAAATAAATTTCCAAAAAATCCAGAGGAAAGAAAAAAATGGAGAGATGTCATCCCAAGAGCAGATTTCTCTATTTCTGACTATACAGCAGTATGTCGACTGCATTGGCCTGATGATGCACCTTTTGAAACCAAGTATGGAAAACAACGACCATTAAACCCACCATCTGTTTTTAAAAATATTCTGCCTAGTTGTTTACCAACACCATCGAATAAAGTCAAAAAAACTGTAACTTCAAGAGGATTTCGAAATGTCTTTCCAGACGAGTTTAATGTTTTTCTAAAAGACGATGAACTTTCATTCGCTGAAATTCAATCTATTTTCATTAATAGCAATGATGTTATTGTTTTTCAATTTAACAAAAATAGTGTGCATATACAGTCAAAAATGTACAAATTTGGAGTTCCATTGTTTCTTTTGGAAATTTTTGATAATTATTCATTCACAGCTTACCATAATGGTACAACTTGCAATATCTCATCTTTAACTGCAAACAATTTAAAATTAATAAAAACAAGATCTGCTTTATTTGAAGCAGTTAGATTTTTAAAACATAAAGAGAGTTCTCATCAATCTAATATTCTATTTGAGCACCTTAATGTGATGAGAAAAGTTAGTGTTAGTGAAGTATTATATACTCCAGATATTATATGTAGAGCGTATGAGTATTTTGCTATGCGACGTAGTTTATATGATCGTTTGTGTGTTGACTACAAGTTGCCCAGTATACGCACTTTAACACGACTGACCTCAAAAATTAGTTCTATGGAGGACCTAAACTTCATAAATAGTATCTTTATGAATTTAGATCCATTAAAAAGAACTTCCATTATTTTAATTGATGAAGTTTATATAAAAGCTTCATTACTTTACCAAAGAGGCGCGTTGTTCGGTCATTCAGTAAACTACCCAGAGAGGCTAGCAACAACAATTTTATCATTTATGATTAAATGTCTTTTTGGAGGACCAGAATTTAAATGTAGAGCTCAACCAGTTTCAAATCTTTCCGCTGAATTTCAATTCGCACAATGTCAACAAATTCTTGATGCAATAAATATTATTAAAATAATATAGAAATGAATTGCGC